GCTTGAGGCTCTGTCTCAAAAAAAAAAAAAAAAATTAAAAAAAAAAAAGAAGTAAATTTGGGGAATACTGAAATTTAAGATAATGTGAATGGAGCAACTAGGTTTCTCTGAGAAGGGGATGTTTGCGATAACTGCATAATTAGGAGCTAGGGTAAGAAGAACTAGAAGAAGACCATTCGAGATTGAGGGCACAGCAGGTACCAGAGTTCTGTAGCCAGAGTGAATTTGGTGTATTTAAGTAACAGATGATGGGGATAGTTAGGAGCCCTGAATTTGGAGCTTGACAGAAATGGGTTCAAAACCCAGCACAATCCCAGGCTACCTGTGTGATCCCGAGTAAGTTGCCTTGACTTTCTTTGTCTTGGTGGCTTTCTCTGTAAAATTGGGTCTCATGATTCATAGGACTAAGAAATAACATGTAGGTGCTAAGCCTAGAGTATGTGTCCCATATACAGAGATCGATAAATAACTGATCTTTATTGAGCACTTACTATGTGACAGTCACTGTTCTGAGTTCTTCCATCTATAAATATGTTGAATAATATGATCTTTCTCTCTTTTTTTTTCTTTCAAGACAGAGTCTCACTTTGTCACCCTGGCATCACAGCTCAAAGCAACCTCAAACTCTTGGGCTTAAGTGATTCTCTTGCCTCAGCCTGCCAAGTAGCTAGGACTGCAGGCACCAGCCACAACACCCGGCTATTTTTAGAGATGAAGTCTTGCTCTGGCTCAGGCTAGTCTCAAACTCTTGAGCTCAGGCAATCCACCTGCCTCCACCTCCTAGAGTGCTAGGATTACAGGTGTGAGCCAACGTGCCTGGCCAATCTTTCTCTTTTGTGGCACTGAGAATTTATTTTTATAACCAGTGGGCTCCAAGGGCCTCTGAGGCCTACAGTTTGGGAATTATTGCTCTCAATTTCCAGGTGAGGAAACTGGGCCCATAAGAGGGGACTGAGCTCTGTCCTAGGGAGTTAGAACAGATCTGAGACAAAACGCTTTACTCTGGGACCCAACCTTTAAAACAAAACAAAACAAAAAGCTTGGAGTCCACACTTCAGGAACGCAGTCCATCTGCTTCTCTGTGGGTCTTGGCTTCCCCTGTGGAGGAGTCAGGGCGGTTGATGAAATGGCTTGGCCTTCTGGGAGCTCAAAGCCTTCTCTAGGCAGGTGAAAATATTTACAGGGATCTGGCCCAACTGTCCTGCCAGGCAGCATTTGATAAGCATCTGGGAGAGGAAGCTGAGATCACAAAAGCTAGTGTGGACCTCAGATTGCTCATCTCTGCACTGTCTGCAGGGCAGATATTTCTATGGGGTCAAGATATACATATTAACATTCATTCAGATATTTTTCTGGATATCTGGGACAGAGGGCTGGGGACTCAGCAGTGACTATGACAGCATTCTTCTTGCCCTTCTGGGGCTTATGGAATAGCAGGGGAGCACTCATTGACAGTGACAACCTGTGGGAGGCCAGTATGGAGACCCCACACTGGGGCAGCTGACCCAACCTGTAATCAGGAGTGGCTTCCTGGAGGATGAGATAGAGAAGTAGAAAGAGCAGCCCGGTCTTAGCCACCATGGAACTCAGTCTCCTTGAGGAATAGGGGCAGTTAATGAATCAATCAGATAATTACTAACTGGATAATCTAGTGGAGGAAATGAGTCTGAGAGCTGCTCTGAGGAGGTGATAGTTGAGAAGGGTGGTGGGAAGAGTGTTCTAGGCAAAGGGAAAGGTTAATACCAAGACCTGGGGTGGTGATAATGATAACTGGCAGTTTAAGGAACTCCAAGGTCAGACAACAAGGGAGTGCAGTAGCCCTGCTAGGGCCACAGAGGGGCCAATCAGGCCAGTTGAGAGGGGCTAGGACTTTCTCCTAGGAGCAATGGAGAGCCACGAAAGTTCTGAACAGGGAAGAGACAACCATTCCTCTAACAGATACTAGACTCAGTGTCTATTGTGTGCCAGTCCCTGATCTCAGGACACGGGGTGCAGCATGAACAAAACACACGAAGATCCCTGCCTTCTTGGAGTGGTCACTCCACTCACAGAGACAGATAATACATTGAGCAGATAGGGTCCAGGATGCTGATAAGTACATTGGAGAAAAGGCAGGGAAGGGGTGCGGCGGAGGGGTGTGGGTTTGCAGTTTTAAGTAGAATGGGCATGGCCAGGTGTGATGGCTTATGCCTGTAATTCCAGCCCTGTGAGAGGCTAAGGCAGGTGGATTAGGCAGCCTGAGCAAGACCAAGACCAAAAATAGAAAAACTAGCCAGTTGTGGTGGCAGGCACCTATAGTCCCAGTTACTTGGGAGGATGAGACAGGAGGATCACTTGAACCCAAGATTTTGAGGTGGCTGTGAGCTGTGACAACACGGCACTCAACCCAAGGTGACAAAGTGAGACTATCGGCAAAAAGAAAAAAAAAAAAGAATGGTCAGGAAAGGCTTCTTCAAGTAACTGATAGATAAGCAGAGACCTGAAGGAGGAGAGAGAGCCATGGAGACATAAAAGGGAAAAGTGTTCAGGTGGAGGGAACAGCAAGTGCAAAGGCCCTGAGGTGAGATGGGGGGAGGGTTGAGTATGGCCAGAGCTGAGCAGGCATTTGGGGAGAGGGGTTGGGGCCCAAATCAGCCAGCTTTGGACTTTCATAAGGACTCTGACTGTGGTGTGAGTGAGGTGGCATCCATGGAAAGGATATGAGCTGACGTCAATGTTACAGCCTCTCTGGGGAAAAGGAGGGTGTTTTAGTTTCCTGTGGCTGCTATAACAATTACCATGAACTTGGTGGCTTAAACAACAGAAAATTTTACTCTTGACAGTTCTGGAAGCCACAAGTCCACAATTAAGGTGTCTGCAGGCCCCCTCTAGAGGCTCTGGGGGAAGAATTTGGTCCATGCCTATCACCTAGTCTTTGGTGGCTGCCAGCAATCCTTGAGGCTTCTTGACTTGTAAGCATATTACTCCAATCTCTGCCTTCACGTGGCCTCTGTCCCCGAACCCCCACTCTATCTGTGTCTTTTCCTCTTCTGTCTTTTATAAGGACATTTGTCATTGGATTTAGGGCCCACTCCAGAATGATCTCATCTTGAGATCCATGACTGTATCTGTAAAGACCCATTTCCATATAAGGTTACAGTCACAGGTTCTGGGGGATAAGACTTGGACATTTGTTTGGAGGTGGGTGGGGACCATCATTCACCACCACAGGCGCAGGAGTAGAAACCTCATACTGATGCCATGCAGAACAGCTCCTTAACCAGCCCCTGGGCATCTCCAGCTATGGCTACCGTGGCCGAGACTGTCGGGCCAATCTTTACCTGCTGCCCACAGGGGAAATAGTGTATTTTGTGGCCTCCGTGGTTGTGCTGTACAGCGTGGAAGAACAGAGGCAACGGCACTACGTAGGACACAATGATGACATCAAATGGTGAGGCATGGGAGGATGGGGAGGGAAGAGAGCTGTGGCTTGGGGTGCAGACCAGCCCAGCCCCTACCTCTACTAGACTTCATTACTATCCCTGCCACTGTGAGGTGGGGGAGGGGCCAAGCCTTTGTTCCATCTCCAAAGCCACCAGCTGCCTCCAGGCTGAATTCAGTGGGAAAATGTGGAATGACTATCAATATTTCAAATGTTTGGCCAGGTGTGATGGCTCACACCTGTAACCCTAGCACTCTGGGAGGCTGAGGCAGGTGGATTGCTTGAGCTCAGGAGTTTGAGACCAGCCTGAGCAAGACTGAGACCTCTCTACAAATGGCTGAGCGTTGTAGCAGGCACCTTAGTCCCAGCTATCAGGGAGACTGAGGCAAGAGGATTGGTTGAGCCCAGGACTTTGAAGCTCTGTGAACTATAATACCAGGGTACTCTACCCAGGGCAACAGAGTGAGGCTCTGTCTCAAAAAAAAAAATTTTTTTTTAAATGTTGGTGAATTCACTTAATGCATGGCTCTTTTGCTTTTTTTGAAAACTCTGAACTGACCTAGATAGTGTGGTGGTTGGTGGATGGAAGTGGTAGCGGCCCCTTTAAAAATTGATATACTGGCTCGGCGCCTATAGCTCAACCAGCTAAGGCGCCAGCCACGTACACCTAAGGTGGCGGGTTCGAATCCCCAGCC